ACCAAAAAAAAAATGATTTTTGGAACAGTTGTTGGTTGAACTTTCGTTGGAATATTAAGTAACAAACTATTGATCAGAATTTTTTATGTTTGATTTATGATTATCTTAAATATTGCAAGAAAGTTAGAGGAGCTAATGTGAAACCACTGAAACTGGAAAAAATTTGAATAAAGAAATTTTGATTTAAAGTGTTTATAAACTTCCTGTTGTTATTTCCCTTAAGAGTAATGATGAGTATATTCTTTTGAAAAAATAAATACGAATGCAAAATAAGTCATCCTTGTTTACTCCTTAAGTATAATGTATGAAATCTTACGCTTTGTTTATTATTAGCTTGAAACATTATTTTTTAGAAAATTGAATCAAGTAGAAAAAAGGATTTAAAAATAAAACACAACAAGAATATAGCAGAAATGCAGAAAGATTCATAACAAAAGATATAACTATAATGCTTTTATTATTATTATTATTATTATTATTATTATTATTATTATTATTAAAATTGCCTAAGACTTTGATGTATGTTAGATCTAACGAATGAAAATATCTAATGCAGTACGACGCGACTATTAAAAAGTGGTTGTTAGCAAGCCGTGATGGTTCCGGAGATATCATAGAACTTTTGCCTATCAATCAGGCAAAGCCGGCTTGAACACCAGCAATGACTGGTTATTTCAAAATCTGTTTCTTGTTTACACAGACCATAGTGCTGATGTGAAAGTACAAAGGTAAACAAATTATTGGTTAAAATCCTCTAGCCATCTGGTTAACCGCAAAGTGATTTTCGTGATGTTTCTTTCCATGTAACGTAAATATATGTTACTTCCTTCAAAAATTCTTTCCCGAATGCTAATTGGTCCTAATGCTTGATCCAGGAGTTCTCCTGTCTTCTGAGTACGATTCAAAATTTCAAGGATTCAGAGATGAGTAATGATAGCCACAAACTCAGAAATGGCTCAACTGTTCAACACCGATTATAAAAATAAATATAAAATTATTGTTAGCGCTATACAGGCTTTGGAGTTAGTGCGCTCGTTTTCAGAGTTTGGTGATCGCTGGCCGATACAAATACTACTCCCGGTTTGTACCGATCAGATGGCGAACGTAATATATCCCCAGCAGTAGAGGGATTACATGTTAGAAAACTCTTAGCATCGAGCCAGCCGTGGCTTCCTCACCATATATCACAAGGTCTGTTTTTAATTCTATAAAAAAGTCCTCCGTGGAGACCAGTTTTCCCCAATGCTTGATCCAAGAGTTACTTTGTCTATATATATATATGTGGGAGTTAGTGCAGCATAGGAGTAAATAACGACGATAATTTAACAAACATAACAATTTAATAGAAATAAAAGGATGGAAGGATATAACAGTGACATGTTTGATGAGAGCTGCCTTCTCGCAGGATCGCCAAAACGGATGTGTATAAGAAATTAGATTGTTCTATGGTATAAAGTTAAGAGTTAATTATAAATTCGGGAGTTTCCCTTCGGGACTGGCTGGCGCCTCTCAATTACAAGGAAGTAGTATCACATGATTTCTTCTCAGTATTACATGATAAAGAATGATGCAATCAGCTGAGATATTACACCATGGCATTGAAACCTACATCAATTTGGCCATACTGACAAGAAAATGTCCTCATTTTCATCAGAATAGCTACCAGACACAGTTACCTGGAAAAAAAAGAAAAAGAACGAGAAAGCAAAGTATAAAAATATAAAAAGCAATTTTTTAATTTACTGGCCACGGTTTCATGTGGTCAGCTGAAGATGAAGTATTTATTGGTCCATCGCGATTCCCGACTTTTAGCACATCGTATCTATCATTCTTCTTCACTGTTGTGATTTGGTATGGACCCAAACTGAGTTCTCTGGATTGCAACTAAGTCTCCCTCTCGATATTCGTTGGCTTTCTTTCTTCTTTTATCGTACTGCCTGCGGTTCTCTTCTTGGATCTTCAAAATATTCTTTTTGGCTTCTTCTCGAATGTTCTCTCTATTTTGGATAAATGATTCTATATGTTCTTTCTCCAGCATTTGTAGAATTTGTAAGTCCTCTTTTGTTTTCATTTTCATTCCGGTCAACAGCTGGAAAGGAGTAATCTGAGTGCTCCGAGAAACTGTAGAATTAATGGTACGCTGTACTGTTAGAACAAATTTGTACCACTAGTTTTGCCAGTATCGGTATGAGGATCTTATGCATTATTTCCACTTGTCCATTACCACGAGGAATACCTGTTGTTATTTTCACTTGTTCGATACCTTCATCTTGGCAATAAGTCTCAAAATCCGTTGAAGTAAACGCAGTACCTCAGTATCAGTAATTATTCATGAAGGATTCCCAAAAGTTATCTGTTGAGCTTTTAACTTTTCATTGTTTTTTAAATCCTCATCTTCAATGTATAACAAGATGCTATTTGCTTTTTCACCAAGCATATTAATTAAGATCTCGGCTTTAAGCCCCTCATTTATGTTTTTTGTACTAAAAGCTCTTTCCAACGATTAAAAAAATTTATTTAAATTTTCAGGTTTCGATGGAACTGGAAGAGATAGTTTTAATGCTATGAATTAGATTCTCAATGTTTGTTTCGGGTTTATCATGTATTGTTTTGGGAGGGTCGATTTCGAATGCTTTGTTTTTCGCTTCTAATAAAAGCATTTCTTTCTCGAGTCTTTCTAATTTTAGTTTTTCTAACTCAACTTGAATTTCGCTTTGTTTAAGTTCCCTGTCTGCTGTTTGTACTCTTTCTTCTACGGCGTTAGTTATCAAATTTTTGAAAAATTCAGAATCATTCTTAAATATTTCGGTGGATTCAATTTTTTCTTTTAATTTAATGATATTATCGCTGCTGTCTGCGATGCCTCCTATTTCCTCTAATACTTTTACTAGGTCTTCTTTCTTTGAATTTTTATGCATTTTTAAAATTGAAAATTTCCTACCTTGATTGAAGAGACTCTCAGTGTCCAATGGTAATCCAATGTTTCGTTCATTCAAACCAGATTCGTATCCCTTTTCGGTGACTCCGAGGATTTCACGATTGCACTTCACGGAAAAGTTGACTACCTTGCTGATTTGCACAGGATATTCCAATAATTTCGGAAAGTTTCTGGATCAATTCTGTCCTTCGCGACAGAAGTTTCTGGATCAATTCTGTCCTTCGCGACAGATCCGGTTATTGCTGATTTAGGAAAGTTCAGAGGTCTCTGCTGCTGCTTTTCTTCAGTCGATGATTTTTTGCTGCTCTTCTCCTGATCCTCCATGAGCGTAGAATTTCGGTGATTCGGTGAACAGTTCGGTGATTCCCCTACTCGGCATTTAAAACAGGAACAAAATCTGGATCTCCTTCTCGAGCGCAGAATTTTGCTTTCCTTTTTTTTTTTTCGGTGAATGTCCCCTTCTCGGGATTTCTAAAGTTACTTGGCTGAAAAATATCCCCTTCTCGGGATTTCGAAGTTGTTGGTTAAAATCCCCTTCGCGGGATTTCAAAGTTCAGAAATAGTTACGACTCGCAGTTCAAATTCCGGACGCAAGCCCCCATTATTTGTGGGAGTTAGTGCAGCATAGGAGTAAATAACGACGATAATTTAACAAACATGACAATTTAATAGAAATAAAAGGATGGAAGGATATAACAGTGACATGTTTGGTGAGAGCTGCCTTCTCGCAGGATCGCCAAAACGGATGTGTATAAGAAGTTAGATTGTTCTATGGTTTAAAATTAAGAGTTAATTATGAATTCGGGAGTTTCCCTTCGGGATTTTCTGGCGCCTCTAAATTACAGGGAAGTATTATCACATGATTTCTTCTCAGTATTACATGATAAAGAATGATGCAATCGGCTGAGATATTACACCATGGCATTGAAACCTATATACATATATATATATATAT